TTATTCATGCTTAACAGAATCATTCTTGATTTGGGAGTAGTTTCATATTCAAATGCAGTTAGCCCATGAAACAAATGTGGCTTCGGGAATACTCGAAGTATCAAGTGATTTGTATTGAGCTTAACTATTCAATATGCTGTATTTTCTTCCATTCATTGTAGAATGGAATGGACTTTTGTAGAGATTAGGTGTAAATTTAAACGGCAACCAAACTTTGAAATAACACGAATTACCTTACCACGTTTATATAATAATTATTTTAGAAATATGAATAAGCTAAGGTATTTAGTTATGGATATATTTAAACATTTATTTAGAAAATACTTTTTGAAAACTCATAGTTATCGAACAAATGCTCACAGCATGCAGCATATATTAAATCTAACTACCCTTTCTATTTCCCGAATAATCAAGTAACTCATCACCTGTTTTCACGTTGGTTCTTGAAACATGATTTGGACCAACTGATTTCCTTGTTGCACTGCAGTGGTTACTAAAATGATAGAAACACACTTAAAATTACTTTAACTTGACAAAATACTGAAAATAATGACGACAACCTGATAAATAGTACAGTAAATTAATTAAATTTAGAAAATAGTCGCGTTACATAAATTGGCGGCTTTTTGGTCACTCACCCAGATGGATCGACCAATTTAAATACTTTCCCTCCATCATTTGTCACCTGAGCAGTGTCTGTAGCTAGCATGTACAGCTCACCTACATAACAAAAAGAGAACACATGGTTTCCCTGGTAACTTTCTCACCATGATGTACAAGCAGTCAACCAACGAATTGCATCATAGCAAAAATCCGATATTTCGGTTTTCTTGAAGTATTGTATTTAGATACGAGCCAAATAATATAAAACATTCAAAATGCTGTACTAATATCATTAAGTCCAGGCTATTATATTTATTATTTCAGTACAGGCCTCAGCCCATCGTGCAAAAAGTATTTACAATGTAATGGATAGAAAAGTAGATTTATAAACAATAGAACATCTAAATAAAAATATATGATATGAAGTTAAGCTTGATTTATATTCATTTTCTCGTTTGAAAGCTTTTAAAAGTAAGTAACTACTGATGTGTATAATACTACTGTCTAATATTTAATACTGTAGTATAAACATCGTTTATAATCAAGTTCCTAACACATATACACCTTTCCTATAAACTGCGCCCTCTAGTGACGAGACGCTTCTATGACGTAAATGGGTGAAACGAAGTCGGTTCAAAACGTAGTTATTGCTGTGATTTGTAGTTCATCAATAAAATTATACTTTTGAGAGTTTTTCCTTTAGAATTAGATGACGCAACCAAATACAGGTAGTTGATTTGAGCGATTTGTCTTTAAGATATACGTCACAAAAGCGCTCAGACATACGAGGGCGTTATTCATAATTTCATATTCAAATTTGAAGTGACATATGTAAATGACGTAAATACAGTACCGTTTTCGTCTTCTCCGTATGATAAAATCTTATCTGGGAATACTCCTGTCAAGTCGCCAGTACAAACCGTAGCATCTCCTAAACAAACATAATCACGTGTCCATTCACCAGTATCCTTGTTCTCAATGAGTTTAAAAAAAGCGCTGTGAAAATAAAGTATAATTACACGTTCAGTTCACATTTTGGTGGCGAGAGGTTGTGGTCAAATGGCCTGCTTAAAATATTCATTGAGCACACGAACCTTGTGCTGTAATCGCCAAATAGGTATAGTCCATCTGCATCTGGGTGGAGCTCACATCCTCGGTAGACGAAGCCACCTATGACACATTTACCGATTGCCCTGTCATACGCATCTATTGGCAAGATATCATCAACTGCAAATAAAATGGTTAATTAAATTAATGTACGTGCTTAGGCCCAGTTGACAACTTGGCCAGACTCGACAACAGAAGGGAAGTTTATTTTCGCGTAATGGTGTAATGTATGAATATTTCTAGTGATGCAAAACGCAATAACGTTAAATATACGTATGTTTACGTGAGCCGTGTGACTGTCAACTGCAAACTCGTACTTAGCCTTTCCTTAAAGGGCGGCAGTCGTCGCGCTGCATCCCGATTTACATGGGACTCATGTATACAACGCGTGTAAATACATTGTTTATTTACATAAAATTCGAACACGCGCTGCGCGAGGGAAGTATACATATTTGCAAGGCAGGCAAGGCCTCTTCGAAACGAATATGATAAGATCTTCACTTATCCAACTCACCACGTTCATCACCTAGTCATTTTATCTTTCGTAAGCTAAACTATATCGTCCTGGACGACTGTCAAGTTGGAAAACCAGTTACATCCATCAGCTTGTTCACATCCATATAACATGGCGTGATATGCTACGTTCAAATATTCGTGTACATCTTTTTTTTTTTTACATAAGATTACAGTACCCTGAAAATCAAGCAAGTGTTTGGATACGTACCAAGTGAATCGCATACTGCCTGGTCATAACATGCATAACCCTCTTTGCCATTCCATCCATAGTTTCCACCAGCCTGAATAATGTCCACTTCCTCATAAGCAAGCTGACCTACATCAGCACAGAGAATTCTCCCTTTTCCGTGCCCTGTGAAGAAATCTCCTCTGTCCACTGAGCATCTCCAAGGATTGCGTAATCCATAGGCGTATAGTTCAGGCAAGGCTTCCGGGTCATCAATGAAAGGATTATCGGGAGGAATACCATAAGGCTTTTCAGGACCGATAACATCAACATCGATACGAATGCCTGTAGCCAGGAATGTTCCCCTGAAATAAACAACATAGCACACTATTTGGTGCTTCTAGACGAATCGAGAGAGAGAGAGAGAGG